ATTTCTCTCGTGGCTCGTTGAGATAAAATATGATATATTTTGTTTCGTGCAGACTACAAACTTTGATCGAACAAATCATTAAACGACAGTTACCATGCGCACATCTGCATTCATATGTGGCCAACAAATAGCTCGTTCGTCAATAGTTAAAAAAGGCATCCGTTGCAGAAGCCGACAACTGGCAACCACAATAGACTCGCTTTTATGAAATTTATGTTTTTACAGTGATTTTCATCATAAAATTGCTTGCTAAATATGCGAAAAACACATATACTTTTTCCTCACTCTTTCTCAAGAGGGGAGAGAGAAATTGTGATATTTTCGGAAAAGCCGTCAATTTCGGTAAATCTCAGCGGTAATAGAACAAATCCTCCATTTTTTTGGCGTCAGCCGCTAATTAAAGACGTTTTTGAGATAGCCGCTCCAGTATTATAGAACTCAATAGCCCCGCGCCAAATAAGAAAAATATTTTCAAAATGGCGGGCAAGTCAAAAAAACAGCAAAATATAGGTTTAAAAAAATGTTTTATGCAGTGCGGTGCTCTGACCAATTGAGCTATGAATTCACACAGTGGTGAGCATGTGAAAATGCCTTTCACGAGAAAACATCAGACCAACAAAATTGACCTACTCACCACTGTGTGACTTCATAGCTCAATTGGTCAGAGCACTGCACCGGCACCACAGAGGTCATGGGTTCGAATCCCGTTAAGTCGCCTGAATTTTTCAGGCTCATGAGACAATTGCTTAAACTGTCCAGCAAAGTGCGAAGATCATATCTTCATTTAAAATATAGGTTCATTTTTACAGAAAAGGTAAGATTCATATTGAATTATGATTTGGAAATATAGTGTTTCAGTTAATTTACAACTTCACCAGTGGGTTAATGGAAGATTGGTGATAGGTTGGAGGGATGTAATTCTATTGTGTAGAACGACAAAAAAGTTCTAAAAAAGCAATACAGGACAAAACACCTACATAACCACTGAGTTTGCGCGGTAAACTCTTTTTCTGTTGTTAGATAATCTATTCAACAACAAATGGCATAAGTCAGCGAAGCAATTGATCAAGCAGACGACTTGACGCTCTTGCATAACTATCCTAATCCGACGCTGTCGGGCTTATTAGGAGACGTGAATGTAGACGTTGAACCGCAACAGAAACGGTCTCGTCTACAAGGGAAAATGAGCAAATCTGGGGGCCTGGGTATAAACACCGTGCTAAAGCCAACAACAACAATCTCCTAGAAGAAGGAAATGACGGGAGAACCACTTTGGACGACCTTAACAGGAAAGTCGATCAACTTACTGGCTTGATGAATACTTTTGCTCCTGTCGTAAAAGAGCTCAAGCAGGCTTATGATGCCGCACGCCAAATGAACGATGGTGATGTTATGTCTGAAGGTGAAACTGATGAAGAACACTCAACCAACGGGGCTGCTGCTGTAGTTGCAGATACAGCTTCAGCTCTAGCAAACCAAAGCGATGCTTTGGTAGATGAGTTGATTCACGAAGTGAGTGAGAATGAACCGACAGACCAACCATTGCCAACTAATATTTCTAAAATCCTGACCAGCATTTTGTCCACTAGACTAAACGAACAAACATTATCAAAACGGAAGGAAGGGGTAAAACGCCCTGAAAACTGTGACTTGTTAAGAGTTACAAAGGTGAACCCAGAAATTTGGGACATTTCTAGGAAATCCACACGTAGCATGGATGCACCGTCTACCAAAATTATAAGAAGCCTTAATAAAGGGCCTCATTCCGATTTCCCGAATTGAGGGAACGAACCCTCAACACCCGGGTTCGTCCGAATCCTGGACGAGCCCGGGTATCTCTCTTGGAACAAATCCTACAACACCTGCACCGACACCAGATGTTATCTGGAATGGGCTGTCCACATCTACTGTGCTTCTCGCTCCACCTAATCATGATCTGAACATGTGCCGCAGGGACTTGTTCCAAGTTGACCTTGATGAAAATTATAAGGTAATTTGTAGTAACAAAGAACCTGATGCTGCAGAACTGTTTGGTAAGGATTTAAAGGAACGCCTGAAAACAGTAAAAGAAAACAAAAAGGCTGCACAGCAACTGACAAGCCAAAAACGGAAACGCAACGATCAACGGTCCACCAGCTCATATAATTCCAATGTGCCTTTTTATTCCAACGTCGGGGCGGTCATTTCCAAAGCCGACCCCAACGACGCAACTATTATCAAAACCAACCCAAGAGGAAAGTTGAAACAGGGGTAAAAACACTAAGAAAGCAGTAACTGATGATCGTCCAGGTTAATAAAGTCCTGAGAAGGACTGTTTTTGTTGTTGTTGACTGACGTTTCGACAACCTTAGCGGTAGTCATCTTCGGAGTCAATGAGGAGTAAACGTCAGGTTAGCCGTATTTGTTATCTGGTTCTTACGTCATTGTATTGTGTGTACAGGAAATGTGTATTGTCATAGTGAATTAGTGTGAAGTGAAATATTTTTATTTTTAGTTGTGATGTCTGATTTAGGTGTGATGTTTTTAGTTGTAATGTGTGGGTGTCAATTGTGTATTGTCATTGTGAATTAGTGTGAAGTGTAATGTTTTTAGTTGATCGTTTGTTTGTATTGTGAATAAGTCGTTTGTAAGGTGCCGGTAATTGCTGTGATCTGTTCAGGAGGGTTTATTCCAAGTTGGTATACCAACTTTCTAATGTAAGCCGTTGTCTATAGTACTGTAAGTAATGCATTTTGCCGAGTCGCAGTCAATGTTGTGCTTTGTGATTCGGTGATGTTCGGCAATGTGATTAGTTTTGTCTTGTTTCTTAGTAGTTCGTTTGTGTTCAGTAAGTCTTATGTTTAAGTTCCTGCCAGTTTCCCCGATAAAGGAGGCGTGGCAGTCGGAGCAGTTTATTTTGTAAATTGAACCTTGTCGTTCGTTGGGTTGTTCTTTGTCCTTTATGTTCGTTAGTACTTGTCGTAACGTTGTGATTGGTGTATGTGCGACACGTATGTTGTATGGTCGTAAGATACGCGAGATAGTCTCAGACGTACCTTTGATGTAAGGTATCGTTGCTGTTGTCACTGAGTTGTTCGCTTCGTTGGGTTCGTTGGGTTTGTAAGTGTTGCGTTTGATAAAGTCAGAGTTATAGTTGTTTTTGTCAAAAGCACGTTTGAGATAGTTTTTTTCGTTTCGTAGAGCGTCCGGTGAATCACATATGATTTGTGCACGTCTTGTTAATGTTCTGATTGTGGTGGCTTTGTGTGATGTAAGGTTGTAAGATGATTGGTCTAGTAGTCAGTCAGTATGTGTTTGCTTGCGATAAACTGTTGCTCGTAGTTTTTGATTGTCATGTTTTACCAAACAGTCGAGAAAAGGAAGAGTTCCGTTTTCTTCGACATCTTTGGTAAATTGTATTTGGCTGTTCTGTTTGTTGATGTGAGTATGAAAGTCATCAATGTCGTCTGCATGTAGTGCTGTGATTGTGTCATCTACGTAGCGAAACCAAAAAGGTAGTGCATGTTTGTAAGGCGTGAGCGCCCGTTCCTCTATAGATTGCATTACAATTTCAGGAACTACAACAGAAACGGGCGAGCCCATTGCTGTCCCATGTAATTGTTTGTAGTGTGTTCCTTTGTATTGGAAGTAAGTCGAGGTGAGGCAGAGCTCCAGTAGCTCCATAATGTCTTTTGTCCGTAATGGCAGTACGTCCATTACAATCTACAATCCACTGAAACTTTCATTAAAAAACTGTGCACTATACAAATACCGGACAACTATATACTAGTGTCTTTTGATGTGAAATCACTGTTCACCAGTATTCCACTAAATCTGGCACACACTTGTACAAAAACTCTCATTACAAACACCACGGACGTACTGCCATTACATGTAACGATACTCATAATAAGTGATACAAGGTTTATATACAAGTAATATGATACAGAAATTACAACAATAAAAAGGAAATAAGATAAATTAATGGAGAGCGTCCGAGCGTATTATAAACTAAATATTGTATTAAATTTAAAAACTTGAACATTGAGGTCAGGGTTAGTTTTGTTAATGTGGAGTGCTTTGATTTTAAGGGAGAATGAAATATCAGCAGTGTCGATGATTTTGAAGCAAGAGGGTGAATAGTTGGTTTTACATGAGTGAGATTTAAGAATCGTATGATTGTCGGTAGATATGAGAGTTTTTGTCTGTTGTGGTATGTTTCCTGATTCTGGTGAATAAATGGCGCGAAGTTTCGCCAATGTACCGGGAATTACATCCCGCGCAATCGAATTCATATACCACCATAGATTTAATTGAATCAGGGATTGGGTCTTTGAATGAGAAAAGGTTTTTGATTTTGAATGATGTGAAAATTAGTCGAATGTCAATACCTGTACAGAAGCGTTTCGTAATGTTTTTAAGTCTGCGTTGTGTGTGTGAGTAATGTCTGATGTATGGTAGTTTGAAGTATAGAGTTGTTATTTTAGAATTTTCATTTGTCTTGGTCGTGATCGTCGTGTCAGGAGTTTCAGTGTTTAAATTAAGGTTGTTGTTTGTTTGTTGTCGACATATCGTTTTACGGTTCTGTTAATAAAGTCTACTGGGAAAGAGTTTCGTAAAAGAGTGGATGTGATGTTTTTTATGTCTCGTTGAAAGCCATTGTTCAGCATTAAACCACTACGACTCAACTCAACCGACATTCTGGCAACATTCGGAAAAATCCACCAAACTATGAAACACAGCATTCACAATCAAAAAGACTACACGCATCTCAAAACAGAGCTGGCACACATCGCTCACTCGTACATCTCATCTTATCACCCGACACCAGTATGGAAAGCCATAGTGGACAAAAGTAGTCGAGAATTTTTTTGGAGTCGAGTTTTTTTTTTACAGTCGAGAATTTTTTTTTTACAGTCTAGACTTTTTTTTTTACAGTCGAGATTTTTTTTTTTACAATCGAGAATTTTTTTTTTACAGTCGACATTTTTTTCGCAACAATTTTTTACGCGTTTATAGGCGCATTAAAAACAATATGGCGACTGAATCTTCATCAGGCGCAAAAGAGATACTTTCGCAAATATTTAACCGTATCGAAGAATTGTCGGATGCCTTGGCAAGTACCGGGGCATCTTCCAATAACTATGCTAGTGTTGAAGTTCATGCTCGGTTGAGAATGAAGTAAGAAAGACGTTTGGACAACATTCATCATCATCAGGTATGGAAGTAAATCAACCAAGTAATACAACGCAGTCGCACTGCACAAATCATGCATCCGTCACAGCTTCCTCTTCACATCTGGCAACTCCTTCCTACAATACCAGAAGATATTTCGGTGACCAACGGTCAACTATGAGATCAAATCGTCGGAGAAAATGTTCTAAATCGAAAAAAGTTAGTACTGGGCCATTCTCGCGTGATCTTATCTTACTATCAGGTCCAGATGACAAGAATGTACCTCGTCAAGGAGGAAAAGTTTTTCTGCAGGAAAATGGACACATCATCAGTGCGTTTGAATTTCACAAAGAGTGGACTGACATTGACGTAGAACTTGAAATACGCCAAGCTTTTCAAGGAACCCTGCCTGATGACGTGGAAATTGAGATTGTGCATTCTGTCCATACAGCACTTCTCAAACCTACATTAGCTCAAGGTCAATATTTAAATGGTTCTGTAATCAACAGAATCTTTAGCAACAACAAACCAGTTTATATTAGGCCATGTAGACAAATCCTAAATCAGCCTACAAATAAAGAGAAACGTAAAAGGTATAGTCTTCCAGAAAATGTGTTTGACGATGTTGAGGATGATGAATTATGGAGGCTATCAAATGATTCAAGTCTTAATGAAATCTTAACTAACAATTTTCAAGGTGAGATTTGAGAAAATATTCTTTTTTTTATTGTTTTGGAGTAAAATCTTATGACAAATTCAGTAGTATATATATTAATTATATAAATAATTAGTATATATATAATTATAGCAGTATATATATGTGTTCTTGAGATGAAAAAAGATTAAAATATATAATATAGAGCTTTTTTATACATTGAAAGGAGCAAAATTGTGTAATGTCTATATTTCAGTATTTGTCATAAACACTTATTCATATATTGTAATTTGTCAAGCAAATCAAGTTCAATTTGGAGAAACAAATCAAGCTACTGTGGTCATAGATGAACCCTTGAAGCAACATGAAGCCATTAATAATAAGCAGCTTGATGATGCTGATGCAGATATGACCAATACTGAACCTTCTACTGAAATGCAAAACAACCAGTGTGAATTGTTTGAAACAAACTTGGAAGAACCATTTGATTTACAAGGTAACTGATGTTTACATGCGTATGAAAATAAAATGAGTCAGACATTGTTAAAGTTATTGACCCAGTTAAAGAATCAAATAACCACAAATAGTTTATAATAAAAACAATTAAACCACTAAAACCATGTTGTTTGAAATACAAATAGTTAAATGTATCCTTATATCTTCCTTAAGTCTTCCACAATATTCATCATCATCATCATCATCATCATCATCATCATCAGTATTATTTTTATTTTTATTTATATAGAGTATGCCAAAGAAACTATACAAACTGGTTGAATATTTTTTGTCTGTTATCTTTAATTGTATCCCAAGTACCCTAGCATTTTTCCATCAGTATCCTTATTAGTCCTTGCATTATTAGTATTATTGTAATTACTACTATTAATTTTATTAAACTGTGATAAATTTTATCTGCAGACATCGATCACTCACTTTTACCAAAAGTGTTATAAAAATAAATTTGTTACTTATGCCTGATAAAAATCTTTGTTTTTTGTGATTGTAAAAAGTGCTATATTATTTGATTTGAAAGATGATGGAGACGTAAATATTGATGCAGATGGTGAATTGTACAGTGGTAATCAGCTTCATGAAAACAATCGTTTGGTTAAGGAAATCGCCATTAACCGCCACAATGTGTTAGCAGACATGATTATTGCGTTCAAGGACGAAAGTATTTTGTCGTGTTGCCTAGAGATTGTATTTATCGACGAAGCAGGAGATATTGAAAACGGAAGAGGTTCTGGTGTAAAACGAGAGGCGCTTAGCATATTTTGGAGAGAGTTTTATAACTCACTGGCTACTGGTGCTTCCGAAAAAGTCCCAGCTATAGGTCGTGACTACCAACAGAGTGAATGGAAAAGTATTGCTCGTATTCTTGTTGCAGGATTTATTAACTTTGGATATTTTCCTGTTACTTTGTCCAGTGCATTTATTGCTTCCTGTCTTTTTTCGGAGGACGCGATTCCTAAGGATTGGCTAGTAGAGTCTTTTCATCAATATATATCAAAGGACGAAAGTGACACTTTAAAAAGAAGTATCAGTGATGAATGCCCCGACCCGTCATTGGACGAAGATGTAGCTGACGTGCTTTCAAGTTTTAAGTGCCGCAGGGTGATTAAAAAGAGCTCGATGTCAAAAATTATTGAGGAGTTAGCTCATCAAGAAATAATACAGCGTCCAAAATACGTGGCTAATACATGGTCACCGATCCTGAAGAAACTGAAAGGTTTTAAGCAATTTGAAACTGTTGAGAGTTTGGTGAGTTTTTATGAAGCAAAAAAGCCAAACCAGAAAAAGGTTTGCAAGCTTTTTATTTCAAGCCCAGCCTCTGGTGCCGAACGGGAATGCTTCTCTCATTTAAAGCGGTTTGTTAAATCTCTTGACGACAACGTTATTATTGTTTTTCTCCAGTATGTTACTGGTAGCAACATCATTGCAGTTGATTCAATCGAGGTTGCATTTAGTGATGAATCAGGAAACGCACGTCGACCTGTTGCGCACACATGTGCTCCTCTACTGATAATACCATCAACTTACCAGTCATACAACGAACTGTCCGAGGAATTCAATAACATTTTTCGACGAGAAGCTGCATAGTCATTTTACATAGTTTAATAGATAATGGATAAAGACGAACAATTAAACAACAATGTTGTGGTTGAAGTTATACTATACTGTATACGTACGTATAAAACTGTTCTGTTATAGTGTTCTGTTATCAAGAGTTTTAATATGTTCAAATATGTTCTGTTATAGTGTTCTGTTATCAAGAGTTTTAATATGTTCAAATATGTTCTGTTATAGTGTTCTGTTATCAAGAGTTTTAATATGTTCAATATGTTTTTTATGTGTTCTAATATGTGACAATGAAAGCAGTTGCGACGATTGTTGATAAAATGGTATATTTTTAAGGCTCAATTCATTCTAATAATCTTTCATTAAATAGTTTCTATTGTTCCTGAAAAATATTTTGCAAATATTGACGAACTGTGAGGTAGTGGTGAATTCCGTGATTGCCGTCATCACTTAAAGGTTCCGGAACAAGGCGGCGTATTTCATTGACATGATCTTCGGTCAACTCAACTGAATTTTCAGGGACAACAACCATATTGTCCGTTTCGATATCACTACCGCGCCATCAGGATCAATGCCATATAAATTTACATTATCGATATTAACGTCTGTTAAATCAGTTTCATTAAGCTCAGAACGCCATAGTGCTAGGGGCGACATACTCCGCATAGTTCGAAGTCCATGATGATTCCATTGGTTGACAAACTCATTGAGTGAGGCTTGTATTGCAGGAATGTAAACATGGTGCAGAGCATACAAATCGATTTCATCGTGCGCATCAAGAAGCTCGCTTTCCTCCATAAATTGGAATAGATCTTTATAATAGGAGGAACTCACTCTATTCACCTCCGCCCAAAGGCGCTCAATTCTTTGGTTATGCACGCTGCGTCCGGCTATGAAGCTTCCTCTGTTTAGACCTCTATTAGCTATCATAAACCGTGCAACGTGTACATTTTCCACCCCCCTATCGCCACGTACGCGAGATGGAATCCCAAATCTTTGTGCACCATTGACAAAACATTGCAAAACAGTATGCGCAAGATTGTTCGTGAAGCATTTCAAATAAATAATAGTTCTGCTATAGCCGTCGATGCAACCATGCAGGACAAATCTCCAAGTGATGAGTTTGTGATTGGAGTCAATGTGCCAGAGATGATTTGGTTTCCTCACATTGTACACCCGCCTTTGTATAGCGTATCTTCGTCTTATGGCACGGTTAATAGGGTCAATAGTTTCTAATGCTTCCCTAACTCTCCACCTTTGGATATGAATACCCCGACCACGCAAAGCTCCTCTTACGTAAGTTTCGCCAGAGAAGGGTGTCAATCTTAAAATATCTCTAATGTATCGTTCAAGCTCTTGTTCTGTTATGTCACAGTAAGTGTTTGCTATACCATAGTCTATTCTTCTTCTGTAAAGAGTTTTGGCACTCACTCCAAGGCAACTGGCAATGGCTTTCCAATTCATACCCGTACTGCGTAATTCTTCAATTTGGTCTGCTGTAACAATGTATCTACGTCTGCCTCCAGAGCTTGCTTCTTGCGGGACTGGAATTCTACAACGTATCGCAACTTCCTCATTACATAAAGTAATCTGTGTTCGCAGAAATTGAAGTTTTTGTCTTAATATATTGAGTAAGTTTGCTATGAGCGGCGATATGGGATGTTGTTGATTTCTAAGGACTAAGGAGATGGCCATTATTATTCGAATATGTCCTTCAAGGCGATCACATAAATGTTCTAAAAAATTGAAGTTACCAAGAATATCGTTCCTATCTATACGTTCTAAACAGTGTTGTATCGATAATAACAAATTTTCTAAATCTTCGTCGACAGCTCTTGAGACGTTTGACATTTCTAATAAAACCACAGTAATGAAATGAAAAAGTTTCGCTATCTTTCTCTTAGTTTATAATCAGACTTAGTTTTTGATTTTCAATTGCCAAAAAATTCTCGACACTGCAAAAAACTTCTTGACTGTAAAAAAAATCTCGACTGTAAAAAAAAATCTCGACTGTAAAAAAAATCTCGACTGTAAAAAAATCTCGACTGTAAAAAAATTCTCGACTGTAAAAAAATTCTCGACTGTAAAAAAATTCTCGACTATAAAAAAAATCTCGACTGTAAAAAAAAATCTCGATTGTAAAACAAAATCTCGACTGTAAAAAAAAATCTCGACTGTAAAAAAAATTCTCGACTGTAAAAAAAATTTCTCGACTGTAAAAAAAAAAAACTCGACTCCAAAAAAATTCTCGACTACTTTTGTCCACTATGGCTTTCCATACACCAGCTGACTTCAAAAAACATCACATCATATGTTTGTAAATGATGATCGTCCAGGTTAATAAAGTCCTGAGAAGGACTGTTTTTGTTGTTGTTGACTGACGTTTCGACAACCTTAGCGGTAGTCATCTTCAGAGTCAAATGAGGAGTAAACGTCAGGTTAGCCGTATTCGTTGTCTGGTTCTTACGTCATTGTATTGTGTGTACAGGAAATGTGCAGGAAATGTGTATTGTCAATATGGATTAGTGTGAAGTGAAATATTTTATTTTTAGTTGTGATGTGTGATTTAGGTGTGACGTTTTTAGTTGTAGTGTGTGGGTGTCAATTGTGTATTGTCATTGTGAATTAGTTTGAAGTGTAATGTTTTTAGTTGATCGTTTGTTTGTATTGTGAATAAGTCGTTTGTTTTGTAAACAAGGTGCAGTTTATTTTGTAAACAAGGTGCAGTTTACAAAATAAACTGCTCCGACTGCCACGCCTCCTATATCGGGGAAACTGGCAGGAACTTAAACATAAGACTTACTGAGCACAAACGAGCTACTAAGAAACAAGACAAAACTAATCACATTGCCGAACATCACCGAATCACAAAGCACAACATTGACTGGGACTCGGCAAAATGCATCACTTACAGTACTGACTATAGACAACGGCTTACATTAGAAAGTTGGTATACCAACTTGGAACAAACCCCCCTGAACAGATCACAGCAATTACCGGCACCTTACAAACGACTTATTCACAATACAAACAAACGATCAACTAAAAACATTACACTTCAAACTAATTCACAATGACAATACACAATTGACACCCACACACTACAACTAAAAACGTCACACCTAAATCACACATCACAACTAAAAATAAAATATTTCACTTCACACTAATCCACATTGACAATACACATTTCCTGTACACACAATACAATGACGTAAGAACCAGACAACGAATACGGCTAACCTGACGTTTACTCCTCATTTGACTCTGAAGATGACTACCGCTAAGGTTGTCGAAACGTCAGTCAACAACAACAAAAACAGTCCTTCTCAGGACTTTATTAACCTGGATGATCATCATTTACAAACATATAACGATACTCCCGGGCTCAAACCATTTACTTTAAACATCACATCCTTAAAAACATTCGCAATAATCTAAACATTATCATTCTCAAACCGGACAACGGCAACGGCGTTGTAATCATGGATTGTCAAATGTATCGTAATTCCTGCCTTAAAATCATTAACAATACAGCAAACTTCACCCCACTCAAAGATGACGTCACACTATCACGTGAAGCCAAACTGCAACGACTGTTAAGGAAGATTCTAAAGAAAGACTCGATTAACAACAAAGGTTATAATGATATCTTCCCCAGAGGTTCTCAACCCTCACGCTTCTATGGCTTACCGAAACTTCACAAGAAACGAGAACCATAACAATCGCCTCCACTACGACCGATAGTTTCATCAATCAACGCATACAATTATAACTTAGCTAAGTATCTTAGTTCTCTACTAACACCACTCATTCCAGATGACCACTCCACTAAAGATTCCTTCACTTTCCTCGACGACTTCTCATCTTTCAACTCATCAACTTCTTGTCACAAATTCTTCATCTCCTGCGACGTTGAAAGCCTATTTACTAACATACCACTTACTGAAACCATCAACCTAGCAATTGACCTAATATTTGTTAAGATACGAACATTAAACGAAAAGATTTAAACAATATAGTATTAAGTAGACACAATATAGTATTAAATTGACACATGTCATATTAAGTGACATTCAGAACTTGTTTTGGTAATATTGTTGTTCGCAGATACTCAACTTGTTATTTTGTTCAAGAATAAAAATCCTAATATTTCATACATTTTCCGAGCGTTATTGCAGAATCGCGAATAATTTAACAGGTTATGGGCCCAGGAGCGTTTGAGTTTCTGTTTTTGACGGCAAATACGGAAAGTATATGAGAAATCGCGATTTCATGAGAATATAACTTACATAAGTGCGAAATATTGAATATGGCGACTTCGGGAAATGACGAAGCATTTACACGGATCTAAAAGTTCAATGGCCAAAACTTTCACCTTTGGAAGTTTAAGATTCAGATGATACTTGAAGAGAAGGATCTCTGGCAAATAGTTATCGGCGATGAGGTAGAACCTAATGGTGAAGGAACTAATGATACTCAACGTCGACAATATCAAAGGCGGGAAAGGAAGGCATTTGCAACAATATGTTTGTCTCTCGGCGATGAACAGCTATCTCTCGTTCGATCAGCGCGTACTGCAAAAGATGCTTGGGCGAAATTAGAAAGTCATTATGAAGTCAAATCTTTGGCCAATAAGTTATTCTTGCGAAAGAAATATTTCACTACAAGTATGGGTCCTGATGATTCCATGACCGAACATCTCAACAAGATGAAGGATATTGCAAGTCAATTAGAAGCATTGGGTGCGTCTGTTTCTGAGGAAGATCAAGTGGCGACACTCCTTTGTAGTTTACCTGATTCGTACAGTGGCTTAATAACAGCATTGGAATCTAGAGCGGATGACTTATCATTAGAATTCGTTACTGCTAGACTTCTTCATGAAGAACAGAAACGTAAAGAATCCAACGAATGTAAGGATATTGGTGAGAAAGCACTACTATGTCAAAAGTCCAAAAACGACAAAGTAAAGAATACCAAATTCAAAAGAAAAGGTAAATGCCATAACTGTGGGTTACCTGGACATTGGGCTAGAGAATGTCGCAAACCCAAACAAAATCAGCAAATTGACAATAGAAATAAAAGGGAAGAAGCATCTTACGGAGCCACAGTTCAGAATTCGTCGTTGTTTACAGATGGCAAAGAATCTGCATGGTACATTGATTCAGGTGCATCATCTCATATGTCATATAATAAGGACATCATGGTTGATTTCATCCCATTCAAATCCCCTGAAAAGGTAAAGCTAGGAGATGACAGAATAGTTCAAGCATTGGGAAAAGGAAATGTACACATTGAGATTAAGTCTAAGAAGAAGTATGAACCAAGAAGATTGGTTGACGTTCTATATGTTCCAGATTTAGGAAAAAATCTCTTCTCAGTTAGTGCTACCGCAAAACGGGGATACTCAGTTGAATTTAATCAACACACTTGCTTGATACTTGATCAAAATGGATCTATATCTGGATCAGGAAGAATGATGAATAACCTGTATGTTCTTGATGTTAAAGAAGAACAGGATGATTCGAAGCATGCGAATGTTTGTACAAGTGATACTAGCGAAGAAATATGGCATCAACGGTATGGCCATCTAAGCCTGAAGAATTTACGTCTACTTCGAGATCAAAAGTTGGTTAAAGGTCTTAATTTTCAATCCGATGATCACTTTGAAGTTTGTGAAGGATGTGCACAAGGAAAGCAAATACGAGCAACCTTTCCTCGAGAACCTGCAACGCGTGCTAAAGATGTACTTGATCTTGTCCATAGCGATGTTTGTGGACCGATGGAAGAAACAAGTCTTGGTGGAAATAAATATTTCATAACATTTATTGATGATAAATCAAGGTAAACAACAGTCTACTTTATGAAGAGTAAGGATGAAGCTTTTGAGAAATTTAAAGAGTTTGAAGCAATGGTGACCAATCTCACTAACAAGAAAATTAAAGTACTTCGATCAGATAACGGTGGTGAGTACACTTGTCACATGTTTGAAAAATATCTAAAGGATAAAGGCGCATCTCCACTAGACGATTTTTGTGACGATCGTCTTAAATTTTCGCGACAACACATGCGCAGAGGCAAAAAGCTTTTCGTTCGGACGAAATTTTTGACGATTTTGATTCTGACGAAAAGTTTAAACTGTTTTAACTTTTCGTCAAGCGCTTTACGATCGTCAAAATTTTAGCCAATCAAATATCAGAGATGAGCAAACACTGCACATGGCCAACCTAGCAGTTCATATTAATGATTTCAACATGGCTACTAGTAACGAAGAAACAACAGAAGTTGAGTTAATTATTACAGAGCTTCCACACTCATCAGAAGTGGACAGTCTGTGGACGGCAATACCTTTGACAAAGAAATGTTTCTCCAAGCATTAAGAGAATATAAATGCTTGTGGGATACCAGTGATCCCAATTACAAAAATCGTAATATGAAAGTGAATGCATGGAATGCATTGTCATCATTGTTTAATCAAGAAGGTACGAGTTTCTTCCATTTTTACAGTTTTCCTTTGCCTATTTACATGCCAAAATCAAAATACATCCTACTACAAAAATACTTCTAGGATTGTAATTGTTACACATGAAAATGGAGGGTTGTCAATGAACACGTTGTAAAAAAAGTATATTGTTTGGATAAATTGTAATATTGTAATTGTATATATACAATGTAACAAAACTATTTAGTCTTTTATCACATTAGGACAAGTATAATCTGTGCAACTTAATCTTACCAGAATATGTACATGTTAGAGCATACAAGCTTTACATGTGCATACTATCAAATTTGCATATATTATACAGAAACAATTAGAATTCAGCCTGATTGTTTGCTCATCTCATTGTATGAAAATTTTTAAGCAAATTTATATAGCTATTTATGAACAGTG